CTTCCGGAAATTAAATATAGCTAATTAATCATATGTTGTCATTATTGGTCCTAACTAAATATTTTTCACGATAACAATAATAAATAAATTATTGCAAAGATTTATTATAATATTTATTATAATTATTATTATTAATTATTATAATACTTATTATTAATTATTATCGATAATTATTATCATTATAATAAAAGTTAATATTGGCAAATAATACGGATGATTAAATAATTAGAATAAAAAACAATAATTATTATTATCATTATAATCAACGATAATATTGCAAATGATTCATTTAGTTTAACGTGATACGTTAGCTTTATTTATTTTGACGTGACATGTTAGCTTTATTTCGTTTGACATGATAAGTTAGCCTCATTTAGTTAAAAATAAATGTGGTTGAAACGTATGATGTTAAAATTATGTGTTAAGTTGACTTTTTTTTTTAAAAAAAAAAAAAAGATTTCATTAAAAAGTGTTTGAAATGTTTGGAGACAATTTAAAACAAAAAAAAAAACAAATATCATTTCTATCATCACAAAGATCAAAATTACTGTTTGAAAGAAATTTATTATTTGTTAAAATTAATTATTTTAGTGAAATTATTATCTGTCAAAATTATTGTTTGAGCGAAATTGGTGACAATTTTTTTTACTGTGACCTTTTTTTTTTTTTTGCTTTTCAAACTTTCATCTTTCAATCATCGATATGTTTTTTTGGTTTTTTTTTGCAATCATTCAATAATTAGTTACCATTGTTATATTGATAACTTTTTTTTTCTTTTTAAAATTAAAATCAAAAAAAAAAAATTCTTTTCAATCATTCAATAATTAGTTACAATTGTTGTATTGATAACTTTTTTCTAAATTAAAATCAAAAAGAAAATTCGATTCTCAATACTACCGTATATTTATCATTTATTCGTGTACATAAAAATATATTGGAATTAATTTACATCATAAATAACCAAATCATTTATTAAATTTATTAACAATTATTCCATAATCATGATTTTTTTTTAATTAAAATTACGAAATTCTTTTTTTAATATTATCATTTATTGTTTGTTATTTGTTATCAGAACATATACATATATATTATTAATTTGTATTATAAGTAACTTAATCATTTATCAAATTTATCAGCAGTTATTTTATAATGATGATTTTTTTTTTTAATTAAAGTTACTAATTTTTACTCCCAATGTTATCATACAACATTTTTTTTTTTTGCTTATTATCAGAATATTTATATACATATTCAAAATTATCGATTAATATCATATCATATCATATCATAACATAAGTATTAATAATATCTCAATATCATTACATATCATATTTCATTATTTCAATTTTACTTTTAGTAATTATTGATTTTAGGAATGATAGGAAATTGTTGTTGAATATTATATTTCAAATATAACAACAATAAAATTGCTATCCATTATCATCTAGGCTTTCTTTTTCATCCCAGGCCTAGTCTAAATCCAAATAATTTTATTGTCCCATTTATGTTTCTTGGATACTTATTGACATAAAATACAACAGAAAAAAAAAAGTAGAATAACTAGGCTCATTTATTCGTTTTTTTCTTTTTTTTAAAAAATTGATTATTCTTGATGATTTTTAGCCTCATACAAAATAGCTATCTAACATTTGTTGCAATTACTTGGCTGCTTAGGCTATATATATATGTATATTCAATTTATTTTTGCTAATGCT